AACCAGTACCCTTCTGTCTGCAGGTGGACACTAAACACCGAACCACGTGGGCCAGGGCAGTGGCAGCAATTTTGAATCGGATGTTTTCCCTCTAATTCCTATCCCCTTTTGATCTCTCATTTGCCTTTTCTCACTTCTGTTATCAATCAGTGAGGGATGCTCTTTATCAGCAGTTACTTTTAATTGCTGTGACTGCTGTTCAGCACTTCTTTCTTTCCTCTTTTTATCATTTTTTATTTGATTCCAGTAGAAACTTCCATATATATACCATTCATTCAGCAAATAAGCATTGAGCATCTCATGTCAGGGCTGACCATTTTTTAATTTGCCAGCTAAAACAAGCACTTCTTCAGCTTTGATATATAATCAGTTAAATGATATGTAATCTTAGAATTATTGGCTAATTTCAGACAATTTTGTTCATTCCTAAATGTTGCAGAAGACTGGTTTTGAAATAGTCAAGGTTTTATTCCAGTTAATATATAGTATGCTTAATGGGTATCTACAATGGTTGCACTTAGTGTAGAGACCATCATTCATCATCTGTACTTGTTTAAATTTTCTGTATTGCTTTCCATTCTAATAATTTCCTCTGTTTGGAGAAGCTGTTCCTGTAGCAAAACTTGTATTTGTTATTCATAGGGGCTTTTTTTTGACTTTGCCACATATTTGCTAATGAACTAGAAGAATGTTTTCCTCTATGTAAAAGTTGGATAGAGTTCTATGGAGCATCATTTGTACTGTTCACTGGAATGCTGTATGGAAATGTTCTTGTGACATTTTACTGGGAAGTATGAAAAGCACGCTCTCATGACATTTCAAAGAAGATTAATATTCTGCAGTATTACTATGGAGTCTAGAAAAACTTGAAGAAAACAGATCACTTCTTTCATTTATAATTACCAATAGTTCTTTTACACAATGCTAGTTGTACTGGTTAATAATGCGGATATAATACAGAAATACCAAGGATCATAAGAAATTCCCATGAACAATTATGCACCAACAAATTGAACTGAGAAGAGGGTACATTCTTAGGAACATACACGCTACCAAGATTGAATTATGAAGAAATAGAAAATATGAACAGATCAACAATGAGCAAGGATATTGCATTAAAAATAAAAAAATCTTCCCACATAAAAAAGCACAGGACCAGATGGTTTTACAAATTAATTTTACCAAACATTTAAAAAATACGTTTTTATTTATTTTTGGAGAGAGAGGAAGAGAAAAGGAAAGAGAAATATAAGTGAAAGAGAGAAACATTTATTGGCTACTTATTAGGGATCTAGCCCACAACCCAGGCCTGTTTCGAACAGGAATTGAACCAGTGACCTCTTGGTACATGGGACAACACTCACCGAGTTACACCTTCTTAAACTGTTCTAAAAACAGAAGAAGAAACACATCCAAACTATTTCTAGAGGCCAGTATTACTCTGATACCAAAGCCAGACACTGTAAGTACAGAAAATTATAGGCCAAATTTCTGTTTGTTTGTTTGTTTGTTTATTTCTTTTTCTTTTTTAAATCTTCATCTAAAGATTTTTTTCCACTAGAAGGCTGGTGCACAAATTCGTGCACGGGTGGGGTCCCTTAGCCTGGCCAGCAATTGGGGTTGATTGAGCCGTCTCGCCCAGTCCCGAGAGGGGCTAATTAGAGCCCACTGTCAGGGGGGAGGGACAGCAGGAGGTTGGCAGGCCAGCAGGGGGGAGGGACCGTTTGAGGTTGGTTGGTTGCGGGAGGTTGGCTGTAGGAGCACACTGATCACCAGGGGACAGCTCCTGCAATGAGTGTCTGCCCCCTGGTGGTCAGTGAACATCATAGCGATTGTCAATTGGTCAACTGGTTGTAATGGTTGCTTTGGCTTTTATACACTAGTGGCCTGGTGCACGAAATTTGTGCACTTAGGGGGTCCCCCATCCTGACCTGTGCCCTATCACAGTGCAGGAGCCCTGCAATCCATCGCCCCAAAGAGGTAGGCCCCGCCCACCCTTCTGGGGCTCCTTAATGGATTGCCCTAAAAAAGTAAGCCGCAGCCAGGGTCCTGCCTCTGTGTCACATAGAGCTGTGGGACAACACCCCCCCCGCCCCCGCCCCAGGCCTCATCATACAGAGCAGAGGGCCCCCCCAGGCCTCCGGAACCCAGCAGAGGTGCGCAGAGGCCTCTGCCAGGCCCCAGGCCTCCTGGTGATGGATTGTGACAGTGTGACACAAGTCCCTGACACTACAAGTCCCGGCTCACCTGCACCTGTGCGCATGCAGCCTGCTGATCGATTGTTATGCGTGAGGGCATCCCGACCATTTACATATCACCCTTTTATTAGTATAGATAGATTGATTTTCAGACAGAGTGGAAGGGAGGGAGGAGAAGAGGGAAGAGAGAATGTGAGAGAGAAACATTGATCTAAGAGAGACACATGGATTGGTTGCCCCCTGCATATGCACTGACTAGGGCCTGGGATCAAATCTTTAAGATCAGATACAAGACAAGGGTGCCCATTCTTCATTCTTACCACTTGTATTCATCTGAAAGTCCTTGCCAGAGCAGTTAGTAAAAATAATTAATTAATTAATTAGTTAATTAATGGCATCCAAATAAAAAAGAAGTCTCTATTTGCAGATGACACAATATTATATACAGAAAACCCTAAAGACTGCACCAAAAGATTATTAGAACTTATAAACAGATTTAGGAAAGTTGGAGGTATAAAATCAATATACAGAAATCTGTTGCACTAACAAAAAAAAATCAGAAAAAATTCAGATACAGTCCCATTTTTAATAACAATAAGAAGATATATTTAGGAGTAAATTTAACCATGGAGATGAAAGATTTATACACTGAAAACTTTCAAACATTAATGAAAAATTGAGGAAAACACAATTAAGTGGAAAATACTTTGTGTTCATCGGTTGGAGGAATTAATAATGTTAAAAGACCAATATTATTCTACAGATTCAATGTAATTATTGTCAAACATTTTCATAGAAATAGAAAAAAAAATTCTAAATTCATATGGAACCACAAACAGTTCCATAGTCAATGCAATCTTGAAGAGAAAAAAAAAAGAACAAAGCTGGACACATCACACTTCCTGATTTCTAACTATATTACAAAGCTACAGTAGTGCGATCACTAAAACAGAATATAAACCCAGAAATAAACTCATACATATATGATTAATTTTCAATAAAGGAGATAAATATATACAGTGGGGGAAGAATAGTGGTGTTGGGGAAATTGGATATCGATATCTACATGCTAAAGAATTAAAATGAATTCCTATTTCGCACTGTACACAAAAATCAGCTCAGATTGGATTAAGACTTGAATATATGACCTGAAACCATAAAAGTCCTCGAAGACAACATAAGGGATAAGCTCCGACTCTTGGGAATACCTATAGCTCAAGAGATCCTAAGGGGGAGGTTGTCTACTTTCCAGTGTGGATATTGCTGGGTTCAGCTCCCATCCTGATTCTACCCTGCCCTTTAGTCATTATAGAAATGAAAATCAAAACCACAATGAGATGCAACCTCACACCTATAGGATGTCTATTATCATAAGAAAAGATGCAACAAATGCTGGGAGCATGTGGAGAAATGAGAATTCTTGTATACTGTTGACCTTATTAAAAATTGGCTCAGCCTGGCTGGCATGGCTCAGTGATTGAGCCTGAACCTATGAACCAGGAGCTCACAGTTTGATTCCGGGTCAAGGCACATCCCTACGTTGTAAGCTCAATCCCCAGTGTGGGACAAGAAGGAGGCAGCTGATCAATGATTCTCTCTCATCATTGATGTTTCTATATTTTTCTTCCTTAACCCTTCCTCTCTGAAATCAATTAAAAAAATATTTTAAAATATTGGTTCAAAGGGATCACAGATGTAAATGTAAAACATAAAACATTAACACCTTTTAAAAAAATCAAGGGACAACTTAAGGATATAGAATTAGGCAAAGAATTATTAAACTTGACACTAAAAGTATAATCTATAAAACAAAAATTGATCAATTGGATTCTATCACAATCCAAAGCTTTTTCTCTGCAAAAGATCCTTTTAATAGGATGAAAAGTCAAACTACAGACTGGGGAAAAAAATACTTAAACCACATATGTGATAAAAAAAAAAAATACTAAAAAAAAAACCCACAAAAACAAAAACAAAAAACCTAGAACCTAGAAGATATTAAAAATCCTCAAAACTTAATAGTATATAAAAAAAGAATCCAATTAGAAATGGGCAAGAGACATTGCATCAGAGGAATATGTACAAATAGCTATACATGCTGTACCCTAGCCATTACAGAAATGCAAGTTGAGACCAAAATGAGAAATTACTACATACTTATCAGAACAGCTAAAATAAAAACTAATGACAACACCAAATGCTGGCACAGATGCATAAAAACTAAATTGCTGATGGAAATTAAAATGGTATAACCAATCTGGAAAACAATTTGTCATTTTCTTTAAAAACTGACATAGAAGCAATTACACTCTGGTATTTATTACAGAGAAATGAATCCTGGTTATGAATGTTCATAGCAACTTTGTTTTTGTTTTTCCATTGATTTGTAGAGAGAGTGGAAAGGAGGGAGGGGGACAAAGAGAGAGCGAGCGAGAGAAACATTCATATGAGTAAGATACATCCATGGGCTGCCTCCTGCATATGAGAATTTAGTTATGTCTAAAGACTAATATTTTATATTCTTTTGTGCCATTTCATTTACTGCTGTGAGAAATTGACTTCTAATTGTTTGAATTTCCCACAATGCAAACCTTGTGGAAAGGAGCTACAATTATTTTGTAGGCTCTGTGTTGAATGTTTGAAAGCACAACTGACTAAGTAGTAAATTAATGGTTTCACATTATGAAGGACAGTGCTATTTGTATGTGAATGTATATAAACTACCTTTGAGATATAATTCACAAGTCATACAGTTCACCCATTTCAAGTATATGATTTAATGATTGGTTATTTCTTTAACAGGGCAAAAAGGATGTGACCCAGATATTTAACAACATCTTGAGAAGACAAATAGGCACTCGATATCCTACTGTGGAGTACATTAGTGCTCATCCTCATATCCTGTTTATGCTCCTCAAAGGGTAGGTACATGGTTTCCTTCAAAGTAGATTTGAGTTTGGAATAGTTAAAAGTAGAACTTATATGCATATATGCATAGCCCATGGACAGATAATAGCGCGGGGAAGGCGGGAGGTGGGAGCAGGGTGGAGTCAGTCAATGGGGGATAAATGGGGACATCTATAATACTTCTATCAATACAGATAATTTTTTAAATATTTTGCAGAGAGGAATGGAAAGGAATGGAGAATTAGAAACATCGATGAGAGAGAGACATTAATCTGCTGCCTCCTGCACATCCCTTATTAGGGATGTGCCCGCAACCAAGGTACATACCCTTGATAGGAATTGAACCTGGGACCCTTCCATCTGCAGGCCGACACTCTATTCACTGAGCCAAACTAGTTAGGGCAAGATAAAATTTTAAAAAAGTATATAACGTTAGCCTCATTTTGAGATGTGATGGGTTCTCTTTTGGAATAACAGTAAAGGTATTTTTCATGGTTGAGGTCAGCCTTCCAAATCAGCATCACCATAATTACTTAGACCACAGCAAAATCCTTTCTTTACATCTTTATATTCCTTTTTTTCAATATTAAATTTTTTGGGTAACATTGATTAATAACATTATATAAGTTTCAAGTGTACTATTTTATATTACCGTATTTTCCGGCGTATAAGATGACCCCCTAATTTTACAGTTAAAACATAGGTTTAGGCCTATATTTGCTATATAAGACTACCCCCCACTTCCGAGGCAACACCAGTTCTTTTTTTAATAGACCGTCTCTCTGACTCTGGCCAATCCGAGCAGGCTTTTTACCAGAACACAGTGTAACTTCAGGTACAGAACATGTACACTGTGTTCTAGTAAAATCAAGAGTGGGAAACCTTTTTTCTGCCAAGGGCCATTTGGATATTTATAATATCATTATCAACTTGAAAAAAATTAGCTGCTATATTCATCCAGCAGATGAATGGATTAAAAAAACAACAACTGTGGTACATCTACACAATGGAATACTATAATACACTGTGGTTAAAAAAAAAAAAAAAAAAGAGTTCTTACCATTTGCAACAGCATGGATAGAGCTGAAGAGCATTATGCTAAGTGAAATAAGCTAATTAGGGAAAGATAAATATCACATGATCCCACTCACTTATGGAATATAATGAACAACATAAACTGATGAACAAAAACAGATCCAGAGACAAAGCATCGATCAGACCATCAAACCTCAGAGGGAAGGTAAAGGAGGGTGAGGGTAAGGGGGAGAGATCAACCAAAGAACTTATATGCATACATATAAGCCTGACCAATGGTCACAGACAACAGGGGGTGAGGGCATGAGTGAGGGCCTGGGGGGGATGATGGGGGACTAAGGACACATATGTAACACCTTAATCAGTAAAGAAAATTTTAAAATTAGCTGCTATATTTAGTCAAACATTTAATTAACTCACCCCTAATGCCTTGGCAGGGCCAGACCAAATGATTTTATGAGCCTTATATGGCCTGCGGGACATATGTTTCCCACCCCTGTTCTAAGTCAGCAGTCTTTATATTTTCTTAAGTCCTCTTGAATAAATTACAATGCTTTTCTCCTTCACATTTCAGAAAATATACACCTTTTGATAGCATGTTTAGTATTTCCCCAGCTGTAACTCTTTCATGTGTGCCAGTAGGTTGATTTTCAAATTATTCTAAGAGAAGTTTCTAACACTATAAATAGGCATTTTTTATATTCTGAAAATAATCAGGCCTACCTGAATATATTATCATTTGATGTTAATATCAGTTATTCAAAGACCACTCATGATTTTTTAAAAGATTATTCACAATAAAACAGGACAAAAGTGAGTAAATATAACCCTGGTTTAATGCATTCTCTCAATATCCTTGTTTACCATTTCCTCTACTGTATCTATAAAATTGATAGTGTAAACTAAACTAGCATATTTTCTAAATTGTGCAAAATAAAATTTATTCTTGAATCTGAATTTCATGTAAATATTTTTTTATAAATAATAGTTCATTTTTCTTTATTGTTCAGCAATAAATTATATCTTGTGCTTGGTAAATGATATCTTGAAGTTTTGTATGAAAGTAGTTTGGTTTGGTTTTTCAAATATTTGATTTTTCCTCATCTATTTAGTTTTTCTTATCAGCTCAGTTCTCATCTATTCAGTTCGCATCCACTTAATGGTCTATTTTGCTTTTAAAAATATTTTTTTCAGAATCTTTCTAACTTGCAGAATTCATGGAAAATTTGAAAATATATCATTTTTCCTATTATCAATATTATAGGAAAGCACTTTTTAAAGAATTGAGATATTAAAAGTTATTTTTTCCAATAGGCTTTGTACTATAACCATAAAAACTAGTATTATATTCAATGGAAATATTAAATGATATAAGATTTTTTTTAAAATATATTTTATTGATTTTCTTACAGAGAGGAAGGGAGAGAGATAGAGAGCTAGAAACATCGATGAGAGAGAAACATCGACCAGCTGCCTCTTGCACACACGCTACTGGGGATGTGCCCGCAACCATGCCCTTGACCGGAATCGAACCTGGGACCCTTGAGTCCGCAGACCGATGCTCTACTACTGAGCCAAACCGGTGTCGGCATGTTATAAGATTTTTTTTAACCCTGTACTCACTTCTCAGGTTTTTCCAACTATATCTTTGTTCTATTCTTCCAGTGTTTACCACACAATTGTCAACTATATCATTTCAATATTGAACATGTCTTACTTGTTCATTGCTAAATATTGTTCATTTTCTTAAAACCTTATCATACACTGTAGTATAACTCAAGCCTAGATCTATTTCATTGTTAAATTTTATACTTGAAAATTTGTTATTAAATTAGAAATGGAACAGGTCTAGTATGCTATTCCTGAATTGTTTCCTACAGAAGATGTGTTTTTCTAATGTAGTTTTTGCTATGAGCTGTAATTTACTTCATTATTATAGCGAGTCAGTCAATCCACAACTATTTCTGGTTATCCCCATTTATCTTTTCTCTGAACTCCAGATGGGTATATACTACTGCAAAAGGAGATATCTCTAATTAGATATCAGGCATCTCAAAGTTAACATGGTTAAAAACTCTCTCTTAATTTCTAACCTGTTCCTCAACTAGTTTATTCATCTTAATGAATAGCACCACCTCTACCCAATTATATTCAAGCCCAAAACACAGAACTCATTCTTTAATTTTCAATTTCACCCCAAATTTATCCCCCCACCCCGCCCTAGCTACATCCGCAAGTCCTGTTGACTCTTCCTTCAAACAATATGCATGACCTGACCACAGCCAGCAATTCTACTACTTCTACCCCAGCCAAGCTACCATCATCTCTACTAGTTCCTTCTCCTGCCTAGTCTCCGTCTTCCACTATAGTTCCCCAGCCCGTTCTTTCCTGTTTTACCATAGATTCTCCTTAGGTACCTAGAGTGATCTTTTGAAAGCACATATTAAGCCATGTTATAAACTCTCCAAAGACTTTTTATTCAAAGTCCAGTAGGTTATCTGGCCACTGCCCTTCTCTGTACTCCTGCCTCATTTCACACCGTTCACTACTCTTCGCCCTGTTCTTCAACTACAGTGGCCTTCTACTATAAACCATCAAGCTGGTTCTTGCCTTGGAGCCTTTGTACAGTTAGTTCCCTTCGCTTGGAATGCTTTACCTATTCCTTGGCAACTCAATCTACTAATTAAATTAAGTAGTAGTTATACTCTAAATACAGGCAGTCCTCAGTTACGTTGGACTCAACGTATGTCATTTTGTGGTTACGTCGACATCTCCCATTTGTTTATATAAAAAAAAGTTCTGTCATTTTGACATATGCGCATATGTGCTTTATGTTTTTTATTTTTCATTTACCACAAGTAAAGATCAGAAATGGTTATCTTTCTTTCAAATTGTTTTACTGTTTCACTTCATTACTGCTGTGTATGTGCACCATGTGAGTGACCTAGGTATTTATGTAGATGGGTTTCTATTTACGTTAAAAATCGCATTATGTCGCGCCATAAGAATGGATCTCTGATGTAACCCGAGGACCTATGTATACATGTTACAAGATCCCCAGGCTCCAGGATAAAAATAGAGAATCCATTGAATCATGACTCAGGTGAAGGTTCATTAAAGCTTCGTGCACAAAGGGAGACAACTCTTAGAAAAGAGGAAAGATGCTACTTTTTGAGCAATAGCTGGGGAGAAGTTTTAAAGGATTTTAGACGGGAAAGATGACGACGTCTAAGTATAATGTGTAAGCATGTAGTGGCGGGGCTCTTTGATGCTTGCACTGTATATCATGTTTCTTCATATGTAGTCTGTCTCATTAGCATATTCAGTCTCTACCCAGTGTGTGTTTTTCACTGTTATAACGGCGATAAGGTCATGCAGTAGTTGTACTGGGGCTGAACTGCGCATGCATTAGGGTTGGGATACTTTCCCCCAATAAAGCAAATCCTGGCATTGCTCTCTCTGGCCTGTAATTGGGTGCAGCGTTTGAGGAGCAACCAAAGAAAATGCCAATCTTATCATGAGAGGCTTAGCCTGTCACACTATTTTTATTCTCTTTAGTTTCAGAGCACTTCTCAGAAAATGAAATTATCTTTTCATTTTTTATAGCCTGCCTCTTCCCCCACCAGATGTAATCTCACTAAAATATGGAACATTAGGAAGCAATTGACCTTGTCTGCTTACTGATGTACCCCAAGTACCTGGAATAATACCACACACATCATAGATATTTAGTGGGCATTGGATGAATGGTGTTTGAAAGAACTATTTGACAAATGCTGTCTATGCCTCCATAACAGCAGTGTTGAAAAGGTTCTTTTGATAAGATTAATACTATTTGTTAATAGGATAACAGAGTTCTCTATCTCTTGTTTATGCTTTAGATATGAAGCCCCACAGATTGCCTTACGTTGTGGAATTATGCTGAGAGAATGTATTCGACATGAACCACTTGCCAAAATCATCCTCTTTTCTGATCAATTCAGAGATTTCTTTAAGTATGTGGAGTTGTCAACATTTGATATTGCATCAGATGCCTTTGCTTCTTTTAAGGTAATTTTTCCTTAATAAAGTAGATCACTTAATTTCAGCATTTAGAGTCACTTGGCCTCTGAAGAAGCAATTTAATTTTAAAAAGCAGAAAATTCTATTTCTTAGGCATGGGCATAGACAAATGTGTATGATGTGGATCATAAGAGGCATTAGAAAATAGAATACAGCCTATCAGGCTAGTTGCCACATCTCAACATACTGCCACAGCTAACACAGAATGAATTCCAATATATAAATAGGAAAAAACAGTTCTCTATGTATGTCATACTTTTATTTATGTTAAAAACAAAGGGTATAAGCTACCACTTAACGTGTATATGTATCAAATGCATCTGGGAAGTATCTGGGAATAGAGTATTTGCCTCCAAGGAAAGAAATTCGGAGTGAAGGAAAGTAGAGAATTACATTTTTGAATATGAAAGACATAATTTTATTTTATCAGTGTATTTTTTAAATTTCCACACTAATAAATTATATTGTATTTTTTAAAATAATCTTACATATTCTTTTTATATACTTTGTTATTATGTAGGCGTTAAGTTTCATCTAACTTAGTTTTTAAGTTAAAACATTTTTAATTTTGGTAAAATGCACATAAAATTATCATCTTAATACTTCAGTGCATATGTATATTCATATTATCATACAACTGGTTTCTATTAAACAATTTTCCATTTTCCTCTCCAGCTACTGGCAGCCACTTTCTACTTTCTGTTTCTATGAGTTTGGTTGTCAAAAAGATGTTCAGAGAGCATATTAGAAAATAGTGTAGTTAGTTTGAAAACTAAAATACTAGTACTTATACATCCAAAGAATGATATCCCCTTCAGGTTTTTATTTTAGAAAGCCATGTACTCATCCTTATGATTCTGCCATTGTTTAGTGTATTTTGAAACTGGTATCAATGTTTGTGGCATGTTCATTTTTCTTTTTTAAAAATGTTTTTATTAATTTTGAGTGAGAGAGAGGAAGGTAGACGAAGAAAGGGATAGAAACATTGATGAGAGAGAAACATCATTGATCAGCTACTTCCTGTACACCTCCTAGAGAGGATCAAGCCTGCAACCTGGGCATGTGCTCTGACCGGGAATTGAACCGTGCCCTCCTGGTTCATGGGTTGATGATCAACCACTGAACACATTGGCCTGGCAGCATTTTCATTTTTCAATAATGGCAAAATGTTTAAAATATATTTTTATTGATTTTAAAGAGGAAGGGAGAGGGAGAGAGAGATAGAAACATCAATGATGATAGAGACCCATTGATCGGCTGCCTCCTGCAAGCCCCCAACCAGGGATTGAGCCCACAACCTGGACACGTGCTCTGACCGGGAATTGAACTGTGACCTCCTCAGCCACTGAGCCACGCTGTACGGGCAGCACGTTCATTTTTCAAAAATGGCAAATCTTTATGCTCTGAGGGCTTGAGCCGAATCTGAAATAAAATATCAACCTAGAATCTGAGATTGAAGGAAGGATAGTCACCAGCCTGCTCAGGTTTTCCACATGACTCTATCCAGTCCTGCCTGCTCCCCAGATTCTCCCCGAGAAAAACGGGGAAGAGGAAAAGCCCTTACCTGGAAGTCTGTGATAGATGGAAAGGAGCAAGGGAAAGAGAGAAGGGAAGAAGGAGAAATTAGGGTGAAGATAAGATGTAAATAAAGAGGAAGTCTAGGAAGAACAGCAAAGAGTGAGTGGAGGGAAGGGTTGAGGACAGACTAAGAAGAGTTGACTAGTGGGTAGAGGGAAGGGAAGGGGGATAGCAAACATGGACATGTGCTCTGAGTGCTGTGAAACCCTAGGAGTCTTTTCATTTCACAGGCCTCTCAGTCTCACCTGGCAAAACAAAATGGTATAGTGGCTATAGAAAGAGCATACCTAGAGCACATGGTGAGAGCGGCTGTGGTGCATCAGATATGAAGAATGACGTTTAACACAGAATCTGATTCAGTGTTTTCCTAGCAACATGTCTGTGCCTAAGCATCTTAGGAAATGTTTTCTATTAATAGATATTGTAATTCTGTTTTCCCTAAAAAAAAAAAAAAAAAAAAAAGCATAAGACTTCACAAATAATTGTAAACATAGTAATAATTTTAATGGAGGAAAAAACAAATACAGTTAAATATCTATTTTTGGAAATTTCCCCAAAGATTTTTCAACATTTAATAGAATAAACTTGATAATAATGTCTTGCTATCATATGTTCAGCCCACTTTAATTTCCAGCACAATATTGAATCATGAAATATTATGATGTTTTGATTTGTATTTCAGCATATTTTTTTTGTTGTTAATGTTCAGCAGGTTCTCAAATAATGTCATCCTATATAATACAGAGGTAATATGCAAATTGACCATCACTCCAACACACAAGGTGGCCATCCCCATGTGGTCAAAGATGGCCGCCCCCATGTGGACACAATATGGCCACCACAAGATGGCCAGCAGGGGAGTGCAGTTAGGGGTGACCAGGCTGGCAAGTGAGGGCAGTTAAGTTATTTCACTTTTTTTCCCCTTAGAATTTTGAAGGAGATGTCTCCTGATTTTTTGGTGTAATGCTAATGTGTAGTGAACAGAAAATCTTTCCAGGCGGCATGTAGTGGCAGAGTGCTTTTTGTGTTGCTGCTGTCACTGCATGTGCAGGCCCTGGAGCAGAGGGAGAACATGGGCCAAATTCTCAAGGCTGACAACTTGTGGCAGGTGGAGAACTCCCATGGTGCATCAGTCCTGGGTCAGCTCAGAAAATCACTGATACTGCTCAGGAGCTTTAGGGAAGGGATTGTCTGCAAACTAGGTATCCCAAATATCCATCTTGGAAAAGATTAGGGACCCGAAGTATGCTGGAGGACTACCTTACTCTCTCAAGAGTCCTCAGTAGAGGAATAGTTTGAATTTTTACTTCAGACAGGCCAGGAATGAGTCCCCCTCCCCTTTTTTTTTTAATCCCCACCCAAGGATATGTTTTTTGGGGTTTTTTTAGAGAGACAGAAAAAAAGAAAGATAGATAGAGAAACATGGATGTGAGAGAGAAGCATTGATCAGTTGCCTCCTGTACACACTGTACCTAACTGGGGAATCGAACCTGAAACTTAGGTGTGTGCTCTGATCTGGAACTGAACCTGTGCTCCAACCAACTGAGCCACCCAGCCAGGGAAGTTTTCCCATTTTAAAATTACAGTTCCAGAACAGCACACTTGTTTGGCTTCCATATTCTACGTGGGGAAAGGACCACATTTCCACTGATAGGCCCAGTAGTCAATCAGGTTGTGACAACATGTATTATGAAATGAAATTAAGCTAGTCTCATTATTGTTTTTAAATATATTTTTTATTGATTTTGTACAGAGAGGAAGGGAGAGAGATAGTTAGAAACATCGATGAGAGAAAGTCATTGATCAGCTGCCTCTTGCACACACCTTACTGGGGATATGCCCACAACCAAGGTATATGCCCTTGACCGGAATCGAACCCGGGACCCTTCAGTCCCCAAGCCGAAGCTCTATCCATTGAGCCAAACCGGTTTTAGCTAGTCTCATTATTTTTGAACTTGAAAATTATAATGCAAAATGCTTTAAATATTTTACTTTTTATTAAAATAGAAATAGATGAGTTTTACCATTGCTGCTGCCTTCTTTGTGAGATTATTGTGTGTATCTTCTATATGCTTTTAGGAAGTTTTAATTAAATATGTATTAAAGTATAAGAATTTATTTTGGAAAACTGTGAAATACTTGTTAGGTTTTTAATTAAATTTTGAACAATACCTAAATAGGGTTTTAGCTTCTAAGCTTACAAAAAGGATTAAGTGAAGCTTGTTTTCTTTCCACATTAAGGTGAATTAAGGATATGATTAAGGTGTGATTTGAAAACAGTCAAACGTTCCTTTCTGCTTTTGTCCAGTTTTCTGAGAGTTATGTCTGTAATAAGATCGGGCTGCTAGTGTTCAACTTTGAAAGGGTGCATTGTGCTACTGAGAAGCTCACAGCCCATGAAGCCCAGAGCAGGGCGATAGGAGACGGCCCTGCTAAATGTCATTCTTGTGCTTCCCAGCATCCTAGGCAACTCTGTTTTAAAAGTGGTTAAGACAAAACACTACAGCTTAAAATCCCTTAAAATCTGCCTACTTGTGGGATATAGTTTTAGACCATTCAGAATTCATTTTTTAAAAATGATTAGTTGTTAATGATACTTTTAAAAGATCATCATAAACTTTATTTGAATATTATGTCATATGTTCAATGTAGAGTTGTGGCTTGAAGAAATAAACTGTAATCTCATCTCTAAAATACCATTTGTTTTAGTAATTAAATTATTCCTATAATTTAGCAATTATATGAATTTAAAACAAACACTTGTTTTTAACATGAAACAAGCTTGTGTTTCACATCTTAAAATAAGAATGGAAATAATTTTGTGATGTAAACAAAAGTTTCTTCTGAAACTTATATGTTTCAAATGAGTGGACTTATTAAATCTTAGAAGAAAAAGATTCTTTAAAAATTTATTGGCTATGATAATTTTGTTTCACTTGGTTCTTCTTTCTCTAGGATTTACTAACCAGACATAAAGTGTTGGTAGCAGACTTCTTAGAAAAAAATTATGACACTGTAAGTAGAAGTTATTTTTACGTCTTTCTTTATTCTCTCTTCCCCTCCCTTTCTTCTTTCTTTCCTCCTTCCCTCTCTCTTAGATCTATGAGCACTTATCGATATTTATGTCTATGATCCACTATAGAAATCAACCATCTCAACCATACATCCAGTTTGTCTTTTACCCAGAAACCAGACCATCAGTAAACCTTGTGGAAAATTGATGATGGCAGGACATCAGGGCTTTCTCATTTTTTATATCTCTTCTTAGTGTTGTGCTCTGGAGCTCCAAGAAACAACTAGCACCTATCTACCTTGATCTTAACTTAAGGGTATCCATGTTGCCCTTAAGAGCCAGTAGGTAACTCTTCCATATGGAATAACACCCCACCATAACTAAGATAAGTCATTTGACCTGGTCAATAATTAGTTTTACTGACTAGTAGAAATACCAAAATATTTCTATCTTCTCTAATGGTGAATCCAGCTCATCCTTTTGCAATTTGGATTAATGTGACACTTCTAGCAAGCTTTCCCTAACCACACCCTTACACACACACACATACACACACACACACACACATCTTGCCTCCCTCCCCTGCCTCTCCCTCACTTTTTATAATGTATTATTATATTGTGTCTGGATCTAACTAGCTGGTCCTTTAGCTCCCTGCGAGGCAGAAACTTATCTGTTGAACACAAGGGTTCAGAGTACAATATAGACTTTAGGTCAGCTTCAAGACCCAGCTCTCCCTCTTATTAATTGCGTGACCCTGGGCAAGTTCCTATAACTACTTCAAAATAAAGATTTTCATGCTTACCTCATAGGGCAGTGGTAGGAATTTAACAAGATTTAAAGTTTTCAAGATGGTACCATGGTAAGCACTAGCATTAAGTTTCATCATTATTACGTGTATCCTTAATACCTAGAATAAATAATAAGTCCTTTATAAATAATAAGTCTAGTTACTGTGACTTTAGTGTGAACTACATGCTTTTGTTTATACTTTTCACTTTTTTGGCTATTTTTTTAAATTTAATCTTTATTGTTCAGATTATTACAATTGTTTCTCCTTTTCCCCCTCATAGCTTCCCTCCACTTGGTTCCCACCCCACCCTCTGCCCTTACCTCTCCGCATTGTCCTCATCCATAGGTGTATGATTTTAGTTCAGTCTCTTCCGGCATCCCCCACAATCTTTCCCCTGATAATTATCAATCCACTCCCTTTCTTTGCCCCTGATTCTATTATATTCACCAGTTTATTCTGTTCCTCAGATTTTTAATTCACTTGATTTTTAGGTTCACTTGTTGATAGATATGTATTTGTTGTTCATAATTTTTATCTTTACTTTTTTCTTCTTCCGCTTCTTAAAGAATACCTTTCAGCATTTCATATAATACTGGTTTAGTGATGATGAACTCCTTTAGCTTTTTCTGATCTAGGAAGTTCTTTATCTGACCTTCCATTCTGAATGATAACTTTGCTGGTTATAGAATAATCTTGGTTGTAGGTTCTTGCTATTCATCACTTTAAATATTTCTTGCCTCTCCCATCTGGCCTGCATAGTTTCTGTTGAGAAATCAGCTGATAATCATATGGGTGCTCCCTTATAAGTAACTATTTTTCTCTTGCTGCCTGTAAGATTCTATCTTTGTCTTTTGCCCTTGGCATTTTAATTATGATTTGTCTTGGTGTGGTCTTTTTTGGATTCCTTTTGTTTAGGATTCTGTATGCTTCCTGGACTTGTAAGTCTATTTCTTTCACTAGGTGGGGGAAGTTTTCTGTCACTATTTCTTCAAATAGTTTTTCAGTATCTTGCTCTCTCTCTTCTTCTAGCACTCCATAATTTTGGTGTTGGTACATTTGAAGTTGTCCCAGAGACTTCTTACACTATTTTCAACTTTTTGAATCTTTTTTTTTTTTTCTTTTCCATTTGAGTCTTTTTTGCTTCTTTGTATTTCAAATCTTTGACTTGATCCTTGTGTTCCTCTAGTCTGCTGTTGGGTCTCTGTATATTATTTTTTATTTCAGCCAGTGTATGTTTAATTTCTAGTTGGTCCTTTTTCATATTCTCAAGGATCTCATTAAATTTATCGACCTTTTTTAGGAAATTCTTGAAAAACCTTATAACTGTGGTTTTGAATTCTATACCCAGTCATTTGTTCTCCTCCATTTCTTTCATTTGTGGTCTGTTTCTTTGACTTCACATTTTCGCTGCTTCCCTGAGTTGGTAGTGTAGCTTTGTGTGCTAGGTTTCCTATATGGCTCGGTCAGTCAGCCTTCCCAGTTACCTGAGATGGACACTCTTGTTGCTCCTTTTTGTGGACTGTGTGTACAGCCTTGTTGTAGTTAAGTCTTGATTGTTATTGGTATCACTGGGATGAATTGACCTCCAGGCCAGTTGACTGTGGGTATCAGCTGTGTCTATGCTGGGATACCTTCTGTATTGGAGACAGCCTTATAGGACCAGAATTGCAAAATTGCAAAAGTCTCTGTGCTCATCTTGGATAGGGCAAAGTCTCAAGGCTGAGCAGACAGTCTTGGCTTCCCATCAGCCCTGCTCTTGGGAATGTGCCTCCAGACCTCTGCCTTCCATGGATCCCCTGAGTTTCTACCTGACTGTCCCGATTCCCCCTGTAAGAGTGTGGGTCCCCCAGGGGCTCACCTGGAACTGAGTTTTAGTGCAATCAGAACTGGGATTCAGTACAGTCAGGAGCTTTTGACTCTTTCTGCTATGGAAAGCCTGCAGCAACCTCCACAGTCAGACCTCTTTATGCACACTTGCGTGTGTGCCTCTAGACCCTGCCTGCTGCAGTTCCTCCTGATTCTCCGAGTCTCCAAGTCTCCTTGTGCCTTTCTCTACAGTCCAGACTCTACCTGTATGAGCCTGGGTCCATGGAGTTTTGGCTGGAGCTGGAGTTCAATGCTGTCAGAACTGGGGTTCAGTGCAGTCAGGGGCTTCATTTCCCCTCCCGCCAGACAGGCACTCGGGCACCCTTCCTCTCTGTGCACATGTCTCTCTACCTCAGCACTTTGCGGCTTCTCTGATCCCTGAGCTTTTTTCTTTCCTTCTAGTTGTAGAATTTCCAATCAGCCAGTTTTCCTGTGGTTTTAGATGATGTCTGTTCTGTCTTTTAGTTGCTGTTTTGAAATTGTTGTACAAGACAGCAATTTAGGTGTTTACCTAGGCCTCCATCTTGGTTTCTCCCTATACTTTCCACTTTCTTAATTCTCTCAGTAATTATCATCAGTGTGCTCAGCTTGCCCTTATCTCACTCAAACACACTCCCCCCTTCCACTTAGCCATCTGAGGACCAGGACTGTTTTGTACCTTCTTTAGCCTCTGAAAACTCTAGCTTTCAATTCTCTGCTGGTACTGCTCCTTCCACCTTAGTAATCCCTGAGTGCATTAACACATGGTGGGAGGTTGATACTGAGCTTCCCCAGCTGCTGGCTCTCTGAGTTGATGGAGGGGCCGTGGGAATGATTGATGTTCGACCACATTAGGAAACAGGGGCTCTAAGCACCAGTGTCCCCAGCCTCTGGGGAGAGTAGAGGTGCTCCAGAGAGGCTAGTTGGGATCAGCATTGCCAAAATCAGCAAAAGTAGCCCTATTTCCTCTACATGTTCATGCTATGAATTTGACAACTTTCTTTTTTTCTTTTTTTTTTTTAAAATATACATTTTATTGATTTTTTACAGAGAGGAAGGGAGAGAGAGAGAGAGCCAGAAACATCGATCAGTTGCCTCCTGCACATCCCCCATTGGGGATTTGCCCACAACCAAGGTACATGCCCTTGACCAGAATCGAATCTGGGACCCTTCACTCCACAGGCCGACGCTCTATCCATTGAGCCAAACCAGCCTCGGCAACAACTTGATTTTTAATGAGTTGCCAGGTGAAACCCTAAATTATTTAATCTTTTTAAAATTATTCAAAGACTACCAGCAAATCTACATAAACATATTTTTAATATGGCATAAATGTATTGTCTTGCAATTCAATAGATGCTTTATTCAAAATGATTTATTGTATTAAATTACTGTATTTTTCTACCCTATTTATAATTTGCAGAACTAAAATGAAATAGAGAAGTATGACTCTTGTATCACTTGACCTTCACACTCTCGATGTCCTTATGTGAAAAAGAGGATGGGGGAAGGGGAACCTCCCAGTGGACAGTGATGGTTGGACTAGATTAAGCACAGAGACAGAAAGCACAGCAGCTGGGCTCAGGGATTGGGGATTTACTTACTTCTGAAGCAAGCAAGCAAACCTAATGCAGACAAATAACAGTTGGCTTTACACTGTAATATTTATTTTCTTTTCATTAGATTTTTGAAGACTATGAGAAATTGCTTCAGTCTGAGAATTATGTGACTAAGAGACAGTCTTTAAAGGTAATATCAAATTTAACTTAGAGTCTCCATAAATTGATGTCTTAGTAGTAAATGATTGGTTTATTAGTAAGCAAGTAAATACAGAAAAATTTAAATATCCTTTTTGTAACTTGAGAAATACTTTGTTACAACTATACTTTATAGCAAAATAATGTGTCTTGCCTCAAATACTTTTTAGAAGTAATAATATAAATAATAAGTATGTGCAACTACACAAAAAGTATGTTGTGTGTGACCACAATTTGAGATTATATCTCCAATTGGAAATTATATCTCCTGTGGAATTCCTGTGGAAATGCCATTCTCCTTTATCAAACAGGGAGCCCATCAGAGCTGGGCTACATCTGTCTGAGAGTGGCCTTCCCTCTGCCAGTGAAAAGTGCCTGGAAGCAGCCTTTGTCCAGGAGGGACATTTCTTAAGTATTCTGCTCAGATACAGTAAACCCTTGATTTTGCAGTCCTTAATTTAACGAACTTCAGATTTAAGGAACAAAATTTCTGGTCCATATGTCATGGGTGAAAATTAATACCCTGGTAATTTAAAAACGCTTTTAACAAAGATTTGCTTATAATTGACAGGTTATTTTGTTATTAATTCATTGTTACTTTTAACAAATTTTAGCAAATAGGCCATATGTTGGGAAGAACACTGGTAATTTTGTTAAAATAGATAAATATTATATACCTACAACTATAGTCTACATATTTAAATCCAAGAGTCACCATTCATAAACAGTGTTCAGAAAATGATTAGCACATGATCATACCTTATGTGTCATAATTGGTTCTGTTGTCCAATGGCATGGCTTTGAGCAGCATTTTTAACTCTTTCTACCGATGCTCCCACCTGTGCTAAGCCACACCCTACCGTGTGCAGTTGTTTACTTGAGGTGATTGGTGAATGCATGCATTTACTAGATCTGTTCAGTGTAAATTTAAAATTACAACAATACATATAGAAAACTTTTCTGTGAAATTAAACTTGTCATGCTTACTTAATGTTAGTTATACAAACGTGTCTACATAAGTAAAAACAGGTTAATTTGTCAAATTTTTAACATACACATTTGGAAAACCTACTTTATTATATAACAGACTTTCAGCTTTAACGGACACCCACTCACCTGAATTAATCTGTTATATAGAGGTTTTACTGTATTCAAAAGAATGTTTTTGGTAGATAATACTTGGTTGTTTTTTGTCAAGCAAGTTGTATGATGTTCGAGCTTACTAAATATCATTTACTTTATTTTTTTATGTTTGGGATGACATTCATAGAACAATGCATTCATTTCTAAATGTTGTATAGTTTTAAACTTAAGCCATTAATTATAGTTTTGTACCATATTTTTATAAATAAAAAAATCCTATAACCATGATTTTGCATTGACCATGACCTGCTTTCCCCTGTATTTGTGCCCTCACTGTTCCAGCTTCCACCAGGGAGGAGAGGGCCTTGTACTGTTTTCAGCCGGTCACTCAGCACTCTTTATTGAGTTTCCCTTTGAGTGAAAACCCATACAAGGTGATCCCTGTAGGAAAGATACCACGCTGTGTTCCTTGCTGGAACTCGCTGTGATGAGACTGAGCTCTAGGCAAAGGCAGTGACATCAATGCTGGGCTCTCCCATGTCCAGCTTGATAACGCAGTTGAAGATAAGGATGCATCCCATTGCCACGGCCATGTACCTGAAGAACAGAATTGCTTATTTGTGAAGGGCTCCACGAGGACAGCCAAAACACAGCTGTCCGTGTTTACTAGTATAAGAGGTGGTCTCCCTCTTATACAGCAAACAAAAGTGACAATGATTCTGAAGGGCCAGAATATGGGAAATTGCTAATACATTTTCAAATCTTTCCTCTTTCAGTGGTAATCTGTCAGATACTGGATCAAAGTTGAGACATTGTTACAAACTAAGGTGACAATTAGGGGTCAAAAAATTATTCCTGTTCCATTTTCAGCAGTAACAAGAACTTGTGACAGAAATTTTTCTCTAGCTAGGTAGGATCTTAGACAGAGTTATAAAACTGGCAGTTTTTTATTCAAACATCCCCCTTCTGATCCTAATTTCTGCTTTTCCTTTCCTACTATCCTATCATCTCCTTCTACCCTGTGCCTATTGTCTCATTCTCTTTTCAAGATATCTTCAGCCCCACCTTATCCTGTTCCCTTGTTAATATTTGAAAGTGGTTAAAACAGAGCCTAGCTCATGATAAGCAATAGATATGTTTGTTCAATAAAATAAAAAGCAATTTTATAAGTAAACTAGAGGCCCGATGCACAAAATTCGTGCATGGGGGGCGGGTGTCCCTCAGCCTGGTCTGTACCCTCTCGCAATCTGGGACCCTTCACTCCTAACCACCCGCCTGCTCAGTCCTTACCACTTGGCTCACTGCTCCTTACTGCCCGCCCACTCGCTCATTACCTCTTGGCTTGCTGCTCCTTAGCACTGCTGTGGAGGGAGAGGCATTTGCCTGCCATGAGCTCGGCTTCTGGCTGAGTGGCTTTCCTGTTGTAGGAGCGCACTGACCACCCGGGAGGGCAGGGGGGGGGCGGCTCCTGCATTGAGCATCTGCCCCTGGTGATCGGTGCGCGTCATAGGACTAGTCATTCTGGTTCCACCATAATGGTTGCTGGGCTTTTATATAGATAGATATTCATCATTATCCCCAGAATTTAATCTCTGGAAGGTTTTGATCAATTCTAAATAAGTGATTGAGACTAGAGTGTGAATTAGACTTATTCCTTCCAGGATTCATTTGCATTTAAAAATAGAAGCTTGTTAATACAGTGGAGGTGTAATTGGTGTGTATATCATACAAATTTGGGAGTAGCAAATGGAAGGAAGACAGTTCATTCCTCACTGCTGTTTGCTGTCACCCAGCTCTCCATTGCCCAGCCTCCCTCTTCACATGGTTCTGTGGTCAGAGACCTCTGCAATGTTCCCAGTGACACCAGCAAGAAGCAGCAGAGTTTGTATCTGGTATAAAGTATTAAACTCCCCTTTTCAAACTGATTATGTTTCCTATTCATTTACAAATACCTCAGCTGACTCATCTTATTATGTATTAATCCATGCAGACATATTATGTATTAATCCATGCAGACATGGTTGCTATTCCTGTCTAAAATTTTTTACAATTGAATGTCTTGAAAATATTTGATTAAGAATATGGTAAAACCAAGCACTGGTTGAACAGTAAATAAAATAATATAAAAAAGGAGGAAAAGAAAAAAGACAAGAAACTAGTAAAAGGCAGATAAAGCATATCTGAGAATGCAGAAATTATTTAAAAGGTTACCGAAGAGTTGGCTTTTTTGTTTGTTTGTTTTTTAATATATTTTATTGATTTTTTACAGAGAGGAAGAGAGAGGGATAGAGAGTTAGAAACATTGATGAGAGAGAATCATTGATCATTTGGATGTGCCCGCAACCAAGGTATATGCCCTTGACTGAAATCGAACCTGGGACCTTTCAGTCCGCAGGCCAATGCTCTATCCACTGAGCCAAACCAGTTTCGGCCAAGAGTTGGCTTTTTTGAATGCCACATTATAGGCAGAGACTTGCTAAAATGGTCTTGTATCACTCTATTCAAGGAAAGAGCTCACTAAATATTGTTTATTATTTTCTTTAACAGAAAAACATTGTTTTGAAGAGCTCTGCTAGCGTGCTGTTGGTTTTTCCTTTTGGAAATTAGCAGCAGTACGTTCTATTTTAACATAACCTTGTTTATGTCTCTGGATTCTGTAATATTTTATATATAGATGTTTTATAATTATAGGAAACAAGCGGTTAAATTATTACAATAGTCTACTTACAGTATTCTTCAAGTAATGAATTATATTAAAGCTAGGTGTTTTGTGGAAGGGCAATGTATGAAAGCAGCTCCCCAATGCTAGAAAGGACCGACATGCCAAAATATGAGGCCAAGTCCAGTTTGTCAGTTATAAAGGTGAGCTTACAGAAAGCAGCCTCATGCGATAGCAACACAACGGATTACTGAGCCTTCCACCCCTACTCCTCACCGCGCCAGACTTTGTATGTTATGAGAGCAGTGAGAATGCATGGATGAGCAGAGAGATCAGGTGCCAGAGGCTTCAGTGCCAGAGAGAGGTAAGAGAAACAGGGAGAGTGCCTCGCCCTAGAGAGAGAATTGATGTGAATCTTGTGATCAGCCCAAAGCTCTGGTTCCTGTTCCAGAGTCACTCAGGGAAGAAGAGGAGGTTAGGGTCTGTCATCACCCAGATGTCAGGACAGCGGGTTAGCTTTAAGATGGGGTCACTTATGTTCCTCACACTTTGCTATTTTCTGACTCCAAAATAGTGCTCCCTGCTGCCTTTTGTTAATCATATTCTAAATTTTTCTAAACTATTTTGGGGAGCTTAGATTCCTAGTGTCAATAAAAAATAATTAACAGAGAAATTCCTTTCACTCATATGACAGAGTTTAGAAATGTAATTCTTGTCTTCTTCAGGGGCCTGACATTTAATTACTAGATAGAAAGATTATAATTCAAAAGAACCTTGGTGGAATTTGGGAGAGGTTTGGACTCTGGTCAATTTAATTAAAACCCTAAGTTAAAAAACACACTCATTATATCTACTTGATGTGCATGGCTTTACTATATAGTATGAAGCCTGTAAAATAAAATTTAAGGAAGTAAAAAATACAACTTTTTCCATGAAGTGAAGTATTTTGTCATTGTTAGTATTAATTAAAATAGATTAACACTTACTGACTAAAAGACTCAGTGTTGTTCACCAAATAATTTAATACAATTGTTTCAGAAAAGTAGTGAAATTATATTTGCAAAGGATGGACATCCCCATATAATAAAAACTGAAGTGACTTAATCTGAATTTAACTCATAAACATCATCTAATGTTTATTGAATGTGCCAGGACCAGTTTGGCTCAATGGATAGAACGTCGGCTTGGGGACTGAAGGGTCCTGGGTTTTTTTAAATGAAATTGTTGCTAAAAGACCTTTTGTATGTATATGTTTGTGTGATGTATATATTTTTTAACATGTGGTATATATTACATTTGATTATATATTTTTATAGAAATACTTTTTTGATTTATATCTATATACTAGTATTAAGATATATTACATACATGTTTTATAAAGATATACACTGAGTGGCCAGATTATTATGATCTCTGAATGTATAATAATCTGGCCACTCAGTGTATATCTTATATAATAAAAGGCTAATATGCAAATTGTCCCTCAACCAGGAGTTCAACCAGCAGGCAGGCCAGCCAACCACCCATGTCCCTTACTCCCCCTGGCAGGCTGGCCAGACCTCACCCATGTACGATGCAATAGTTAAGTAATAAAACTAGTTATTTTTTTTTTTTAAATATATTTTATTGATTTTACACAGAGAGGAATTGAGAGGGACAGAGAGTCAGAAACGTCGATGAGAGAGAAACACCGACCAGTTGCCTCTTGCACACCCCCTACTGGGGATGAGCCCGCAACCAACGTACATGCCCTTGACCGGAATCGAACCCGGGACCTTTTAGTCCGCAGGCCGACGCTCTATCCACTGAGCCAAACCGGTCCCAGTATTTAAAACTAGTTAAGTAATAAACTAGTTAAGTAATAAAACTGCTTTCCTTCTATATTTGTTGAGAAGATTCTGTGGTAATAGGACCTTATTTCCCAACACTATCCACATTTATCACACAAGCTGTAAAGGGTACAAACACAAACAAGACTTGATGTATGCCCTGTGGAGCTTACATTCTAAAGAGACGCACAAGTAACCCTGTACTGCAAGACAGTGTGAGTACAGCTGGGTAAAAACAAAGAGCACAGAGGCAGTTGAGGAGATTCAGCCAGGGAGAAAGTCAGACTCACAGAAACATAAGGTAGAATGGTGGTTACCATGGGCTGGGGGATAGGGGAAATGGGGAGAAATAGATCAACAGTTATAAAATTTTAGCTATAGATAAATAAAGTTTGGGAATCTAATGTACATTATGGTGACTATAGTTAACAGTACTGAATTGTATACTTGAAAGTTGTTGAGAGTAGATATTAAGCATTCTCACCACACACACACACACACACACACACACACACACACACACATACAACTGAGATGGTGGATGTGTTAACATGATTGTGGTAAATATTTCACAATGAATAAGTATATGAAATCATTACAATATACACTTTAATTGTGTACAGTTTTTTCAATTATATATAGAGGCCTGTTGTACAAAATTCATGCATGGGTAGAGTCCCTAGGCCTGGCCAGCAATCAGGACTGATGGAGGCCTTCTGGCTGCCATCCTGTGCCTTTCTTCCTGCTGCCAGTCAGGGCCTCCCTTCCCCAGCTGCTAGCCAGGGCCTTCCTTTGTTCTGTGTGGTCTGTGCACATCATAGCAAGCAATTGAAATCCCGGTCTCCTGGTCAAACTCCTGATGGGACACTTTACATATTAGCCTTTTATATATTTATATATATAGCTGGGGTGGGTGAATGGAGCAAGGGAAATAAGGCCGCAGACCCAGGAATAAGGGAGACTTAAGTGAGAGAGCGGAGGAGAGGAAGCAGCAGGGATGACTTCAGATCACAAAGGGCTTTGAGTACATCCATAGGAATCTAGGCATTTGTTTGTGCATCCGTTTTATAAGTGGAATTAGTAACATGAATAGGGCTGATCTTTGGGAAGATTTGTTTGACATAATGTGCAGAATGGATTGGATTGGCTGAAGACTGCAGAGGAGACCATTTGTGTGCTATTGCAGTTGTCCAGATGGAAGGCAGTAAGGGTATGGATGAGGGTACTGGCAGTAAAAATTGAATGAAAGATTTTCGAGGCTCTTAGAAACAGAATGTTGGAATATCTTGGATGTAGATTTTATGTGAGGAGCAAGAGAAAGAAAGGAGCTGGGAAGATTTCAACGCTCTGCCCTAAGGCACTAGAAGCTATGATGTCATTAACAAGGAGAAAAGAGGAGAGAGACATTAAGTGTGATAGGCCAGGAAAGTGTTTGGCTGGGCTGCCAGGTAGACAGTTAGAAATGTGGGCATGTAGTGTAGGAAAGAAATTGAAATTGGAAATGGAGATTTGAGAGACACCTTCCCAAATGTATGGTTGAAGCCGTGGACTTAGATGAGACTATTGGGAAATAAAAGCTAAGTGATTCAAGTATACAGCTTGGAATGAATGAATGAGTGAATGAATGAATGAGAAAAAACAAGTATACAGCTTGGAAAATTCCTGCATATATAGTGCCAAAGGAAGACAAGTCAGTAATAGAGGCAGCAAAGGACACTACAAGGGGTAAAAAACCAGAAGAATGAAATAATAGCCTTGAAACCAAAAGCAAAGAAAGTTTCCAAAAGAGTGTTCAGTTAGCTTTAGATGCTCAGAGAGACTAAGGAAGATGAAGATCAATGATTTACATGCTTGCCATTCCATATGTATATGACTAACTGGTAACCAGCTAACACACAACTATGGTCATCATTTTCTATGTTTAACAAACATTACTTCTGTGCACTAAAATTACTTAAAGGTGTGTACTTCTCATTTGTTAAATAGACAAAAGATGCATCACAGGCAAGGTTGTTGTTCCCTGGCTGCCAAACACACACACAACGTATGCACACACACTCCTACTAACCTACACACCCCAGCAGGTGTTACTAGACTGCATTGTGAGATAGACAGTTTCATGTGCTCTCTCCTTCCATCCAGCACTTAAACATGTATGCGATGTATTACTAACATGGGACATCTAGAAAAATTCCAGTAAATAGGAGATTTGGAAAATAAATATATCACATATAAAATTATGTTAAGGGTACACTTCAACTGCCTGGTTGCCAAAGCTTTAGGAATTGCTCCCACTACAGTGAGAAGACAAGTAGATGAGATGGAGCAGCAGCACATTAAGCTGTGCTGTTAGAGTATTTCTCTTCAATTATTCTCACTTTTGGTATTTTTATTTTGTTTTGAAGTATCTTAGTCTGTTCTGGCTGCTATAACAAAATACCATGGGTTGGGTGGCTTAAATAAGAAATATTTATTTCTTGTAGTTATGGAGGCTGGCAAGTCCAAGATTAAAATGCCAGCAGGCAGAGAGCTCTCTGAGGTCCCTTTCATAAGAGCACCAGTCCCATTCATGATGTTTTTACCCTCATGTACTAACCTCTTAAAGACCCCTCCTCCTAATACCATCACGTTGGAGGTTAAAATCTCAACATGTAGATTTTGGAGAGCACATAAGCATTCAGTTCACAGCATGGAGTAATGCTGCATTTTGTCACCAGAAAATGTCTTGCTTTTTATAAAAACGTGCTGTACATGTTAAACTTCATTTGGGTTGAGAATCAATTATTTTTTTTTCTGGTTATATATCAGAGTTTGTAATAAAAATTTTGGGGAAAATATAAGCCACTTTACATAACCTATTTTTTCCCAAGTAAGCTACTGGAGTACATTAATTTAGGTAATGAGGGTATAATTGTAGAGTCAATTTTGTTCTTATCCTACCTCAAGATAATTTAAGCAATGAAAATAATAAATTAGTTTCTCCCTAGCTCTTGATTAGAGCTACAAAGTGAGATTTTTAAACCTGCAGCAATGATTGGCTTAAAAATAGATTCAGAAATGCATTAAGTACAGACTTTAACAAAACTGGAAAAAGCTTAAAATAACTACTGCTTTCATGCCTGTGCTTTAAGATGTGCTTAAGGACTCTCAGTTTTTATCATGTCAACATTCTAAACTCACATTTATATTTTGTTTTTAAGTGGGAAGCAATGAGATGTATTTTGAATAAGATGGCTTTCAGATTATAGCATTGATTTTTTGTTTTATTTGTTTATAGCTGCTGGGGGAACTGATCCTGGATAGACACAACTTTGCCATTATGACAAAGTACATCAGCAAGCCAGAGAACCTCAAACTGATGATGAACCTCCTTCGAGATAAAAGTCCCAATATTCAATTTGAAGCCTTTCACGTCTTTAAGGTAAAGTGTAAGCTACAGAAATAAAGCGGGCATTTGTTTTCCAGTTTCAAGTGGCAAACTCTTTACTTTTTATTCTCCTTCATACTTGAGAAAAAATTAAATAGGCAGTCTTTTGTTTTGCATGAGTTAGTTGAAATTTTAGAGTTATATTAATGAATGCCCATTTCTTTCTAAAAGGTTTCTAACCAATCCATATCTCTAAATATTTTCTTTTTTTATTAAGAAAACTAGAGGCCTGGTGCATGAAAATTCATGCACTGGATGGGGATCCCTCAGCCCGGCCTGCCCCCTCTCATAGTCTGGGAGCCCTCGGGCAGGAGGTGACCCAGTGATCAGGAGAAGACAATGCCCCCATCACACCTCTGCTGCTGCCACTATCAGCAGCGCAAGCTTTGTCCGACCTGGTCTCCTGAGCCTCAGGTGGCCCTGAGCGGCTGGGCAGCCGCCATCCGAGTCTTGCCTGCGCCTTGGGCTTGCCCTGGGTGGCTGGGAAGCTGATATCCAAGGCTTGCCTCTGCCTTGGGCCAGCCCTGGGCAGCTGGGAAGCCAACATCTGAGGGGGCTGAGGGGATTGGGGGACTCTGGACTCAGGCACGCGGAGTTGACAGACCCACCTAGGGCGGTCCCAGCCATGCTGTGCACCTGCCACCCCGACGGGACTTAGGGGACTGGGCACCGCCACCTTATCGCTGTGGGCACCATCCTCTTTGAGGGCTTGGCAGTCAATTAGCATATTCCCTCCTTATTGGTTGTGGGCACAGTCATCTTTGTGAGGGTGTGATGGTCAATTAACATATTCCCTCTATTAGATAGGATAGGTAGATATGTTTCCTAAAAGTTACTAAAATAATCAGTGACTGAGCTAGAACCCAAATCTTGAGTGTGAGAATTTGAATGCTTTGCTTTCTGCCTTAAGTATTTCTCTGAACCTTAAATGAAGCAATGAAGAAACACTTGGGTACTACTCACTTCTATTACTTATTCATAAATATTTTTGTAAATGTATTTTCCTATGAAAGAAAGCTAGCCCCTGTAATACCTGCTATCTCTTCCTAATAATTTTTTCATTAATATCCTATACAATAAAAGTCTAGTATGCAAATAGAATGAACGGTGGAATGATGGGTAGAACGACTGGCCTCTATGATACACACTGACCACCAGGGGACAACCAGCAGTGGCGATTGGGGGCCGGGCCAGCTGGTGGGCAGCACCAGGCCACCAGCCAAGGTGGGTGCCAGCTGGGGCACCATGATCACCCCGCCCACCGGTCACCCCACAGATCGGCCCTGATCACCAGCCAGGCCTAGGGACCCTACCCTATATATTGGGAACAGTCTCTAAAATTTAAAAATTAAAACCTAGCAAGGCTACTCTAACACTGAAAAAATAGGATGATGCAGCGATAACATGCATGGATTCTGACTTGTACATTTTGTGGTCAGCCCTGATGCTAACACTTATAATTGTGTGACAGAGCCAACTACTTAACTTCTCTCTGCTTCCGTTTTTCCACCTATAAGGTGGGGAAAGGGACTATTGTCTCAGAAGGATCATGTTATGAACTACATTTTATAATCAGGGCAAAAATATGTAGCTGCCCTACAACAGCAAGATGCTTTTCACCTGTATGAAAGTGTGGTCACTGGTGCATGCAGCATCCTGGACTGTGAGAGGGATGTCCGACTGCTGGTTTAGGCCAGCAAGGATCAAGTCTAAATTGTCAGCAGACACCCACTGAGGGCGCAGGCTGGGCTGAGGGCCCAGGCTAGGCTGAAAGTCCCCCGCTGTGCATGAATTTCATGCACTGTGCCTCTAGTAAGTAATCAAATGGCCTCCTAGAAACTTTAGACAATGGATTTTTATAGATTACTAGAGGCCCAGTGCACAAAATTAGTGTACCTGTACCCTTTCCAATCTGGGACATCCCTCTCACAATCCAGGACTACTGGCTCCCAACTGCTCACCTGCCTGCCTTCCTAATTGCCCCTAACCACTTCTGCCTGCCAGCCTGATCACCATCTAACCACTCCCATGCCAGCCTGATTGATGTCTAACTGCTCCTCTTCCAGCCCATTTGCCCCCAACTTCCCTCCTCTGCCAGCCTGGTCACCCCTAACCACCCTCCCTGCAGGGTTGATCACCCCCAACTGCCCTCCCCTGCAGGCCTGATCCCTCCCAACTTCCCTCCACTGCTGGCCATCTTGTGGTGGCCATCTTGTGTCCACATGGGGGCAGCCAGCTTGTGTGTTGGAGTGATGGTGAATCTGCATATTACTCTTTTATTAGATAGGATAGGGGCCTGGGACGGTGGGGGCCAGCTGGTTTGCCCTGAAGGGTGTCCCAGATCAGGGTAGGGGTTCCCTTGGGACATTGGGCAACCTGGGAGAGGGGCCTGTGATGGTTTGCAGGCCAGCCATACGCCCTGGCAACCCAAGTGGAGGCCCTTGTATCTGGGGTTTATTTATCTTCTACAATTGAAACTTTGTAGCCTAGAGTGGAGCCAAGCCTTCTGCTTGCTCTGTGGGGGCAGCCATTTCTGTTGGGGTTTATGTATCTTCTATAATTGAAACTTTGTAGCCTTAATCAGAGGCCTGAGTCGGCCAGGGTGTGCGGAAAGCTTGGCTTCCTTCCTCACCAGGGGAAACCATAGCCTCCTGCTCTTTCCAGCTCCATGGCTGCCACCATTTCTGTTTAGATTTATGTATCTTCTATCATTGAAACTTTGTAGCCTTGAATGGAGGTCTAGGCGGTCAAGGGCAGGTGGAAAGCTTGGCTTCCTCCATTGCCTGGGAAATCCAGTCCTCCCTCCAGCTCTCTGTGTCTGTAGAGCCATCTTGGTTGGGTTTATTTGCATATCCACTCCTGATTGGCTGGTGGGTGTGGATTGTGGATGTAGCAGAGTGATGGTTAATTTGCATACCACTGTCTTATTAGATAGGATGGTTGATGAGAAAAATCTAATCTGTAATTTCATACTCCTATTGTAAAGACTTTAGTAAGTTTTCTCTTCCTGTGCACATATTTGAAGGTTTTTTTTCCTACAGCTGTATTCACTTTGTACCTAAAATTCATAACCTGTTTTATCACTGAATGCTACACCATCAGTAAACATTAATTCATTATCATTATATGTCATTTTTAGAACTAGGTAGTTTTATTGGCATCATAGTTTATCATTGGGTATATTTATTTTAGTTTACTTAAATATTCCTGCAGGCTAGGTGAGCTTTTTTTAATCTTTATAATGTATGTTCATTAGTTGAATTTATCAGTCTATACACGGACACATGGCAATTTATAAGATACTGGAGGCCCGGTGCACAAAATTCGTGCATGGGTAGGGTCCATAGGCCTGGCCAGGGATCAGGGCTGATCTATGGGCACGATTGGTGGAGTGATCACAGAGGCCCCTTCTGGCCACCCACCTTGGCTAGCCTGGTGCTGCCCAACTCACTGGTCCTGCCCACCCCCTGCTGCTGCTACTGGTCGGGACCTGTGGACTGGGGAAGCTTCTGCACTGAGCATCTTCCCCTGGTAGTCAGTGTGCATAATAGCTACTGTTGTTCTGCCAGTCATTCCACTGTTCAGTCAATTTGTATATTAAGCTTTTATTGTATAGGATTTAATTGTTGCTCTGAGAGTTTAAAAAAAAAGTTTTAATCCATCTTTCAGACACCAAACCTTCATTGTCCAAAATGTCACTAGAGAAATTTAAATCCAAAATTAATTTATAAATTCCATTCAATTACATTAAAAATCCCAACAGCAATTTTCCTGGAACTTAACAAGCTAATTCTAAGATTTGTTATTTGTGTGTGTGTGTGTTGTTGTTGTTGTTGTTGTTGTTATTGTCTGCTTTTTAAACATTTATCTTTATTGTTTAAAGTATTGCAGATGTCCCCTTCTACCCTTTCCCATTGGCCCCTTTCACAAGGATAGCCTAGAAATATCAATGGTAATTTTGAAGAACCGATAGGGGAATCCTCCCTACCAGATTTTAAACTTATTATGCCCAGTCAAAATGGCAGAGTAAGAAAATGCTATGCTTGCCTCCTCCCGTGACCACATCAAAATTTCAACTAAACTACAGAACAACAATCATTGAGAAACACCTGAAATGTAGTGATATAGAAATCCCATAACTAAGGGTATAAAAATGAAGCCACATTGAGCCCGACCAGTGTGGCTTAGTGGTTGAACATGAACCCATGAACTAAGAGGTTTGATTAGGGCACGTAACTGGGTTGTGTGATCAATTCCCAGTAAGGGGGTGTGCAGAAGACAGCTGATCAATGATTTTTCTTTCATCATTGATGTTTCTATATCTCTCTCCCTCTCCCTTCCTCTCTGAAATCAATAAAAATATGTTTAAAAAAAGAAGCCACATTGAGACCAGTAGGAGGGGTGAAGACACAGAATGGACTGGTCCCACATCCACATGTGACAGTTTTCTCAGCTTCAGCGGTTCCTGCTGAGGAAGAGAGGTCCCAGGCCCACATCATCCTTCCTAGCCCAGGGTTCCTGTCCAGGGAAGAGAAGTCCCCATAAATTCTGCTGTGAAAACCAGTGGGGATTGAGGCTGAGAGGATTCAATCTGGTGAGAAGGAGGGCTGCTGGAGTCCTAGGCATTAGGGCCTGTGCTTGGCTTACTCGCTGATGAACTCAACTGAGCTGAGCTCCAGTGCTGGGATTGTGGCTGAAAAAGCACCAAGATGAACTGGAGTAACGTATCTATCTGCTCGGGGGAGGACTGGAGAGGCAGCTTTCTTTCAGACAGTGGGCTGGCAGAGGCCGTTGGGCCCTTGTTCAGCCCTCTCCCTCCTAGCCTGCAGGCTCAGACTGACACCGAGTCTGAGTCTCCATCAGCACGGCTAAAACTATTTGCCCAGCACTGGTTATTCCCCGATCCAGCCAACTTGATGGCCTACCAGGCCACTTCCAGTGGCTTTTCCATACAAACAGCCTGTCATGGCACATGCTTCGTTACTTTACTAAAT